TGTCTCAATCGTGCTGGCCAGATTTGTGTTGGGAATAGCAGCAACCTGTGGTCAAATGTAGGGCTGGGAGTGGGATATGGCTTTTCTGCAAAAAGTCAGATTGGCAAATGATGGTGAGAGGAGGCAAGGAGCTGATAGAGTTTATGGCTGATGGACTTAAATTTTTGTTTGTTTGTTTGCAAGTAAGGATATTTGATGAGACTGGAGGGAAGGGAATGAGAATGAGATGAATAAAAATAGAACCAGAAGAACTAGGTAAGGAAATTGAACAAGTACAAATAACAGGATTTATGGGCAATAGTGAGAGTCCAGCTGAGGTTGTAGACTAGGAATTATGTAGTAGTGGGTATGGGAGCAGACAAGGCAGGCTGTTTATAGCATTGGTACAGGTGTGGGATTTTCCTGGGTAGCTATGGCAAAGGGATGAAAGTACATGGACCAGGAAGGTCCTGGTGAGAGTGGTTCAAATGTTGAGCCATCTGGAGTCCAGGATGGGTAGGGAAGAAATATCAGGAGGAGGCAGGTAGACCAAGAGAAAATGGAAGGTTTGAGAGTCCATAGTCTTGATGAGGTTGAAGAACAGGTATAGTTGGGAGTAAGATGTGGTTGAAAAATGGAGAATCTTGAATTTAAGGTTTCAGAGGCTGGCAGTTCTTATTGGTTGGGTCCATGAATGAAAAATAAAGAGAAGATATATATTGTTAGCATGGTTCTATCTTTATTTCTTCAAGGGTGTTCTCACTTTCTGGCCTTTAGATATTACTTGGTCTCATTATTGTACCAAATGTGCCTTTCTCATCACAGAATTCTGCTGCCTCTCCACAATACCCATTTCTAATACTTCTGCCATTGTTCTCATTTTCATTGTGCCTGTGCTATCCTTGGTCTTTAGCTGCCAGGCAATTGGTAGTACCTACTTTGTCCAGAAGCCGCTGATTTTTTTTGCCAGTGCTTTAGTCATAACCACACACATGGGAATTCATTTTCACAATGTATTTGATTGCTCTGTTCAATATTTTATAATTGTTTTGGCTTTGATCCTGCCTGGACAGAGCACCAGCCATATAATCAGATTGCCTGGGCTTGAATCCCAGCAATTTCACTTACTTGCTTTATATTATTGGGAAAGTTAACCTAACTTCTGAATTCTCATCTCTATAACGGGGATAGTAATAGCCACTCACTCTTAGTGTTGTTGTGATGATAGATTATTTAATATATGCAAAGTACTTGTTTAGCATATAGTAAATTCTTAATAAATCAACTGTTGGGGTGATGTTGACAGACATGATGATCACATGGCAGCATATTACACTATGTGCCTGATATTGTGTTAGATGCTGGGCTAGATACATAGGAAAATATTGAAAAAAATTCTTGTGTTCATGGAGAGTGTATATTCATTCTCCTTGGGGATAAGAACAAAGAAGACTTCCTCACGATTATCTAAGAAAGGACCTGTGAAAGCAGCTTAGCTTCTTATACTCCAATAAAGGTCAAGAAATAGACAAATTGAGAAAACATTGCAGTTTCAGGAACCTATATAACTTGTATAACTTTACCATGTTGCTTATGTTCTCTATTGTCTTGTAATAAAAATAAAAAAAATTAATTCTTTTTGAAATGTAAAAGGAAGGTGTGTATGAAAACAAGTCATGGAGCTAATAGGTGGCTTGGTGGTTAAGGCACAGGATTCCATGGCTGACCGTGGTTTGAGTCCTGGAATTGATGGCTTGACAGTTATGTTGGGTATGTGTGCGTACATGCCCAAAATCCCAGGAGAAGAACGAAGAAGGGATTGGGTATTGTGCCATGACCAGTCCTCTTGTGTGTGTGTGTGGGGGGGTGCATTTTGGGTTTCTCACTTTACCTTTTTCTGTCTCTCTGGCAAGTGCATATGCCCTATGGCAAAAACCTAAAAAAAAAAAAAAAAAAAAAAAGTGAAATTTGAAATTTGCTGTCTCCTAATTCAACTCCCTAAGAGAAACCAACAAGAATAATTTTTGTTCTCGTTGTTTTTGCATATACAAATCTTTAGATAAATACATTATTAAAGAAATCATTCAGTATTGTCCTGTAGCTACTTTTTTTCACTCATGGTTATCAGTATGTATAGATCTCTTACATCTTTAATGGCTGCATAGTATTCCATTATAAGGATGTATTAGGTTGTCAGGAATGTCATGATGTATTTTTCTGAATGTCAAGACATTCCTGACAACTCAGTATTATTTTGCATTATTTTGTTTAATGATTATCTGTTAAAGAACTTTTTTGTTTTTACACATAAAGTTGCATAATGTTCTTATATATATTCTTGTATGTACATTTATGTGAATATTTCTATTAGTTACATTTCTAGAAGTGGTATTGCTCAGTTAAGTCATATGCCTATTTTTAGATATGTACTACCAATTTCCTTTCAATTTGTACTTTGAATCAATCTTTCATACTATAGTTAGAGTGATCTTTGTAAAATGAGTTCGATCATGTGATTGTTCAACATCATTGAGCAACACCAATGACTGACCCTGTTGCCTGGTGGTTAAAGGATCTAGATCCTATGTGGCATGGTTTGAATCTGGTCCAGCAGCTTGAAAAACAATCTTGGCACTTAAAAGTGCATGCCACAAATACTAACAGGATGGAGAAATAGAGGAGAAGGGATTCCCCTTTTTCCTTAGGCAGAGCTTGCTTCCCTTAGAAAGTGCTATTCTCCTTTCTCTTTCTGTCTCTGACAAGCACACGTGCACTCTGGTAGGGGGAAAAAAGGCAACTCCAAAGATGTTTTATAGATTACTATTCCCTATACAATAGAATCTGAAATTTTTAGTTTTGTTTGTTTGTTTGTTTTTAGTTTTATTTATTTTTTTTTAAGAGAGAGATTTTTATGATAGGGCATGTGCGCTTTGCCAGAGAGACAGAAAGTGAGAAATCACCCCCAAGGGGGGGGATGTCCGCACTGCAATCCCTTCTCCTCCATTCTCCTCTTGGGATTTTGTGCACACATGCACACACAGCCGGCATGAGTTTTAAGCCTCTGGCTCCGGGACTTGAACCATGGTCAACAATGTGAGAGTCCAGTAATGTAACCATTACATAATCTACTGGTCCTGAAATTCTTAGTTTTTAAGAGTATTTAAAAATTATGTAATCTTCCTTCATCTATCTTTCCTACCATTTGCCCACCCTCCCAAAAAATGTACTCGGGACCAGCAGTTGGCATAATGGCTATGTTGCTGGATTCCCATGTAGTCGACCACAGTTCAAGTCCCAGACCCAGTGATCCTGAGAGGAGAATGAATGAGAAGGGATTGTGGTGTAGCCATCCCCCCTGGGGGGTGATTTCTCACTCTCTGTCTCTGTCTTTCTGGTAAGTGTACAAAAAGTTGCAGTCAACTTCATGCTACACGCCCTATAACAAAAAATCTCTCTTAGAAAAAAAGTTAAAAAAAAAATACAAAAAAACCCCACCAAAAATAAAACAAAATGAAACAAAAACAAAGAAAACTGGGACCAGCAGTTAGCGTAATGGCTATGGCACTGAACTCCCATGTAGTTGGCCACGGTTTGAGTCCCAGACCCGGTGGCTTAAACTCATGCCGGCACGTGCACACGCGTGCCCAAGATCCCGAGAGGAGAATGAAGGAGAAGGGATTGCGGCGTGGCCATCCACCCTGGGGGGTGATTTCTCGCTTTCTGTCTCTCTGTCTCTCTCTGTCTTTCTGGCGAGCGTACGCACCCTATAGAAAAGCCTCTCCAAAAAAACCCAAAAAACAAAAACAGAAACAAAAACAAAAACAAAACAGAACAAAACTGTGCTGTTTCTTAAAGCAAAATCTACCTCTTCTGTAAAATCTTCCACACATATAGTTCTCTCTCTCTTTCCTCTTTATGCAAGATAGAATTACTTACTTACTTCTCTAAGTTCCCATAACATTTAATTTGTAATCCCTCTGATCGCACTCAGTACATTGTACTGTATTTCTGTCTATAGCCCTGCTACTCTGTGAACTTCTTAAGGGAAAGAAAAACGTGTCATTTCTGTATCCCAGCACCTTGCACAATGCTGCTTGTCAGAGGGGTGCTCAGTGGATGTTCATGACATGGGGAAAGAAATTCTTGAGAAAGTGCTAGTGCAGTAAAGCCTGGGAGGTAGGGTAAGAGGAGGAAGTTTTTTTTTTTTCCTTTTCCTTTTTCTTTTCTTTTCTTTTTTTCTTTTTCTTTTTTTTTTTAGAGGTTTTTGCTATAGAGTGCGTGCGCTCGCCAGACAGACAGAGAGAGACAGAGAGCCAGAAAGCAAGAAATCACCCCCCGGGGTGCGGGGGGTGGGTGGTCACACCACAATCCCTTCTCCTCCATTCTCCTCTTGGGATCTTGGGCATGCACATACACGTGCCTGGCATGAGTTTTTAGCCACTGGATCTGGGACTCGAATTGCGGTCGACTACGTGGGAGTCCAGCGACATACCCATTATGCTAACTGCTGGTCCCAGTGGTAGAAGTTTTAAGTGTACCAGAAGGCTGACTGACTCCTGGGAACATGGAAGCTGGTCAGAAGTGGAGAAATGGGTCTAAACTGGCAAGAGTCCTTATATGCTTCCCCCTTCCACTACAGAGACCAGCTGCCTGAGTATTTGGGCTAATAGACTTTGAGACTTCAGAACATTTAAATTATTATAAATTGGATGATTGATAATTCACTTGATGTAGATGGGGGGAGTTTGATTCAGCTATTTTATGCTCTTTCCTGACTAAGATGTTTATGTTGAGAGGCTCAAACCCTTTTCTAGAATTGTGAATAACTTTTTCTTCTTGAAAAATCAACACCTCTTCATTTTCAGGTCATTATTCAGGTGGGAGTGAGTAGGAATGGGAACTAGGTCAGATTCTTGTACTTCATCTCTTTAGCCTGACTCAAAAGAGTAGTCTCCTGAAAGGCTTAGGCTATGAGACTATTATAAATAGTTGGTGTAAAATCAGTTCTTCTCCCATTTCAGGAAACTGTGGTAGCTTTCCTAGTCTGATTGCTTTGAAGAAAGACGAATAGAAGGAAAAGTAGACTGTCATGTCGGAGATACTGGACCTCTCTTTTTTGTCTGAAGTGGAAAGGGATTTGATTCTCAATGTTCTACAGCGGGATGAGGAGCTCCGAAAAGCAGATGAGAAAAGGATTAGGTAAGAGTTCCAGAAAAAACATGGGTTTCCAGGCATTTTCCTTATGCCTCTCATCTTGACTTTCAGAGGAACTTGTTTATATGACATTTATAACTCCTCATGGGGTCAGATTTGGGCTCTGAGTTTGTTATTTTCATAGATGCAAACAGTCTTCTTATCTTTACCCCTCAACTGCTCTCCATTCAACCTATGGAGATCCTCAATCCATTTTGTTTTTTGGCAGGCGACTGAAGAATGAGTTACTGGAAATAAAAAGGAAAGGGGCCAAGAGAGGCAGCCAGCACTACAGTGATCGGACCTGTGCACGGTGCCAGGAGAGCCTGGGCCGACTGACTCCCAAGACCAACACTTGTCGGGGTTGTAATCACCTGGTGTGTCGGGACTGCCGCATCCAGGAAAGCAATGGTACCTGGAGGTGCAAGGTGTGCACCAAAGAAATGTGAGTGTCACTTATGGCTGAGGAGAAAGAGATGAGGCCCCAGCTGTGGAGAGAATTTCTCCCCTTAACCTTTGTTGGTTGAATGACAAGAGCCATTTTTTATGCATCTGTCATTTTCTTTTATTGCTCCCTAGAGAGCTGAAGAAAGCAACTGGAGACTGGTTTTATGACCAGAAAGTGAATCGCTTTGCTTATCACACAGGCAGTGAGATAATCAGGATGTCCCTGCGCCGCAAACCTGCAGGTATTGGGCCTGTCTAGAGATGGCTTCCTGCAAGGCTGAGCCTCAGTGATCTGTCCCTTTGTGTGGGCCCTAGTGTGTTCTGATTGGGAATCACAGCTAAGGCTCCATGTGCTTAGCTGGTTTTTTAGGGAATATAAAAGACTGTGTTATCATCCCTTCTGCAAATGTGGTATGTTGCAGGGGAGATGCTCTAAGAGTTGTTTCCCTAACCCCCATCATTGCCATGCTTTTGTTTGTCTTGAAGTGAGTAAAAGAGAAACAGTGGGACAGTCCCTCCTTCAGCAGACCCAGATGGGTGACATCTGGCCAGGAAGAAAGATCATTCAGGAACAACAGAAGGAGTCCAAGTAAGTCATTGATTAAAGAAATACTACAATAACTTTTTAATTCTTTTATTCTTTCTACTTTCTTTTGTTTATAAAACAATAGGTGTTTATTATCAGAAAATTTGGAAAGTACAAAAAAGAGTAAATAAAGAGGGAAAAAATTCTTAATGCTACTACCCACATGTAAACATTAACACTTGGCATGTTTACCTTCTTCTTTATAAGAGCCATTTCAAGAAATAAAAATAACACATACTCATTATTAAAAATTTAACCATCATAGGAAATAAGAAAGAAGAAAGTAACAAATCACTCACATTCCTACTATCTCAGTTTTTGCATTATGTGAACATCATTTCTGCTATCTTCTGTATGTATAAATAGAGGGATGATTGAATGGATGTACTGAACAAGACTTTGTGATATTAGATTATGATATGATGAATTAAAATCAGTCTGTTTAATTGCACTTGGATTTTGCATAATAAAACACTGAAACAAAGTAAACAAAAAAATTGCTAATCTTCAGACAGATGTTTCTTACTATAAAATATATTAGTCATTAACATCCCATTAAGCCTGAGAAAAACTATTATGAAAACGACTGAGCAGTTACTCACTTTTTTTTGTTAACAGCCTTATGGAGATAAAATTCACATATCAGGGAACCAGCAGTTAGCATAATGGCTATGTCGCTGGACTCCCATGTAGTCGACCGCGGTTCGCGTCCC